CGTTTCTCACAAAATGGATGAAGGCGACATCGCAGTGGATGACATTGTTATACGTAACTCGATTTGTATAAATAATGAAGCTTGTGACTTTGAAATTGATACATGTAAATGGCAGAATGACAGGACATGGAACTGGATTACAAGAAAAGTTAGGGATATTCCCAATGGCCCAAAAGTGGACAGGACTTTGAGAACGGAATCAGGCAAGTGCCATTACTGTTTTCCAAGCTACAAGATAAATGTTATTTGTTATTATAGTCAATATAACACAATGAGCATTGTTTGCAGAGCAAATTTAAAATAATGTTTCCGGACATGATATACAAGTACCTTTTTTTGTAAACATTTAACGTAGTAATCACTTTCGTTTGAAGGTGGAATACTTTATATTGACTACGAAAGTAACCCAGTAGAGGGCGACTCTGCACAGTTAGTGCTGACTGCTTTGCCTGCAACTGATGTCAATGGCAAATGTCTTCAATTTTGGTAGGTTCGCTCACTCGCATTTCGTATCAATTGTTAACCGTATTGGCGGAACTAATGCAATTCCTTTACTAATGCGCACTTGTTAATATATTCATTGATTCTATTGATTTGAATATCTTTATGACTGTGTTTTGCACTAAGATTATACAACACATACATCAATATAACAACATATACCTGACAGTTTTGATGTATTCAATTCGTGCATTCAGGTACTACACTTCTGGCTCATATGGTACACTAAATTTGTATGTGGACTATGGCACAACATTTCCAGGAAAACAATTATATTTCGTTGTAAATGCCGATCCCACAGATGAATGGACATTCGCAACTGTGCCTGTTGTTAGTACAGTCATACATACGGTAATACCCGTATTATTTATGTATCAATTATATGTCGACAAACGTGATTGGTCTACAGTATCTCTGCTTATTGTGTTTCCATTACTCAAACCGCAATATATTTTGCATAGGCGAGAGTGCAGCCAAATGTTGTTGAATCGTAAACATAATAACATAAGACATCTGCATAGTTATGAGTTTTCGTACACCTTCTAAAAAATAATACATATTTGTGATCAAACATGCAAAAGCTAGATTCCAGAAATATATTACTTACCAATGCATTGGCCTGATCACGCCCCGCGAAATATATATTTTTATTCTGAATTCTACAATATAATTCATATGTCACAGACACAGACGGAATATTGAGATATGTATCATAAATACAATAATAGGTAATCATTGAAGTTGTCGCAGGGGATGGTTCAAGTGGTTTTGTGGCATTCGACGAGATACATTTTAGGACTGGTTGGTGCCATGTAACACCTTCAACAGCTGAGGCACCTGCATCGCCACCCATCGCTCCCAGCACACCAGCACCAATAGGTTTGAACGTATATCTGTATAATAATTTGTAATATATTGATTATGAATCAGTCCATACTTGATTACGGCCAACATTATTGCATCATTCTGGTACCATAACTATACAAAAACAATCAGAATGGTTACATAACTATACTAACATGTCAGGTGAAGAGTAAATATGTTATGTATTATTTATTTTAGCAATCTGAAAGCCAAATATAAATTGACCACATATTAAATGTGTATGTCAACTTACAAAACAATTTTTCATCACATTCACTGTAATTCCTACTTATCTGGATAATTAATCACACATATATCAATGATCACACTCAGTTTTTAATAACTTAATTCAACAGTGTCGATAATAGAATATTACGCACAAGAATTGTCAGATATTTACAGTATTATTCAATCCCTGTCCAGATCCGAGTCCAAATGATTGTGATTTTGAAACTGGGTTATGTTTATGGTCGCAGTCGACTGGAGATGATTTTGATTGGATCCGTAAACAAGCCTCCACTGGACTTGGACCAAATGAGGACCACACTATTGGAGATGGTAATTACCAAACAAATATACGAAACTTTGTAATATGAAGTAAAAAAATATCCAGTTATAATGAAATACTACCTCGTAATAGTCAGATACTATCTAATTATAAGGAGATGTTACTTTGCAATAGCATGATTTGGAATTTCTCGTAATGCAAACAATGTTTCAAAAACCGTTATGTTGATGAAATGATATTAGACATGTCCAGTTAGATGAGATGATATTAGACATGTCCAGTTAGATGAAATGAGATTAGACATGTCCAGTTAGATGAAATGATATTAGACATGTCCAGTTAGATGAAATGATATTAGACATGTCCAGTTAGATGAGATGATATTAGACATGTCCAGTTAGATGAAATGAGATTAGACATGTCCAGTTAGATGAAATGATATTAGACATGTCCAGTTAGATGAAATGATATTAGACATGTCCAGTTAGATGAAATGATATTATACATGTCCAGTTAGATGAAATGATATTAGACATGTCCAGTTAGATGAAATGATATTAGACATGTCCAGTTAGATGAAATGATATTAGACATGTCCAGTTAGATGAAATAATATTAGACATGTCCAGTTAGATGAAATGATATTAGACATGTCCAGTTAGATGAAATGATATTAGACATGTCCAGTTAGATGAAATCATATTAGACATGTCCAGTTAGATGTAATGATATTAGACATATCCAGTTAGATGAAATGATATTAGACATATCCAGTTAGATGAAATGATATTAGACATGTCCAGTTAGATGAAATGATATTAGACATGTCCAGTTAGATGAAATGATATTAGACATGTCCAGTTAGATGAAATGATATTAGACATGTCCAGTTAGATGAAATGATATTAGACATGTCCAGTTAGATGAAATGATATTAGACATGTCCAGTTAGATGAAATGATATTAGACATGTCCAGTTAGATGAAATGATATTAGACATGTCCAGTTAGATGAAATAATATTAGACATGTTCAGTTAGATGAAATGATATTAGACATTTACAAGCTAAACTCTTGAACTGGGTTGTCTATTCTCAAACCATCAATGCAAGAATCCATTCGCCTTACCTAGACATCAGGTACACTTTCTGCTCGACCATCCTAACACCTTTATCCAAAAAATATCAGTTTGACCGAGTTTATCTTTGCCCTATATTTTCTAGACTATGATGCTAGATGATGCCGAGACTGGCCTCAGTCCAACTACACGAAGCAATGTACACATACATTGTACTCCAAATTACAGGGTCCATACTGGATGCAATGGCCCACAAAAAGTGATTAATAGTGTTTTTGTTAGAAAGCCAGTGCTGGCCAACAGCAATAATCTTGCCCATTGTGACATCAATTGTAGTAAAAATTAAATAGTTATGACTGAATGACTTATTCTCAAGTCATTTTCAGAAAGAGGATCAATCGGTAAGAGGTTGGTTGAAATCTGGATCTCGTTGCCATGGAACATTTTTTTTGCTCTGGAGATAATTTGGTAAAAGATTATTAACCATTGTCAGATTGTGTTAAAAAACGTATCCAAGAATCAATCAGAAGTTTTTTGCTCTTGGAAGGCCTTATAGTTTTTATTATATTCATGTTGTCAGGATGGATACGTGGTTCATATCTCTCAGTGTGACAATGTTTTGATAAATAATTTATCTCACTTGGTATCATATATTCTTAATATTTAGGGAATCTAATATTTTTAATATTCCAAAAATCGTAAACTGTATGAACTAATGAAATGTAAGAATTATATGTATTTTCAATTTGCATGTATTGTCTGGTTGTAATACTTATTATTTATAAAGGTAGTGGCTGGTACATCTACATGGAGACTGATTCGCAATCAACAGATGACAAGGCGTGGCTAGAGAGTTCCACCATCCCTGCTTCTGCGACCTGTCTCTCATTTTGGTATCATATGTATGGTACTCGGGTCAACACATTAACTGTATTCATGAAAAACCTTGACACTCAGAAGAATCTTTGGGTTCACGAAGGTGGTGAAATTGATGGTTGGTTATATGCTTACGTTTCACTAGATTTCACCGATCCATTCCAGGTAATGTATTAATGATGCACATTCTTAACAAAACTTTTTAAATGAGTTTATATATTTCTCCATGTCATGGTATTCATATTCCGAAAGCTGGATATGGAAGCTTATCTAAAATGTGTTTTCCATGCTTTAGTCTAAATTTCAATCTGATTTTGTGATGACCGGTTTTATTTAATACATCTTTTCACTAAAATAAAAATAGTCTTTGTTTTGATCTACATATATTATTCCAAAACATAACACTGACTAGAGTGTATATCAGTGTAGTAATAGCATATCAGTATACATCTCAGTATAGAAATCCGTCCAACATTATTTAATTTAGTATATTATAGAACATGTAGACTTTGACTAGTCTCTTCCAGAAATATTAAAGGGCGGTGGTCGTCGCGCCGCGCATGTGCGATATATTTGTGTTGATAAACATTGATTTTACCACAATCCAATGCGCTCTTCTAATATTGGCCTTGGTACAACGTGCAATAATTACTGCCATTGACTCCTTCGATACCCTACAATCCCCAACAAAATTATCCAGTCTGCACAACAGCCAAAGTCGCGAAGTTCCGCCCTTCAAAGCAAGGGTTCTCTAGAGAATAACTTGCCTTGATATTTCGGCAGATTTGATACATTTAAACGTCATAGCTGTTACACAAAAGATCTCAGATACTATTTACGTCACTTTTAATTAATTTGATTATACTAAATATATATATATAGCAGATGTCAAGTTTAGAGCATGCTGTGCTTAATCGAACCCCCTGGCATCATATCGTTGATGTATGTATTTAGCTCTGTATTGGCTAACCGAGCCCGAATCAAGAAATAAAACATTTTGCATCGTATATTTGAGGTACGCAAACGGAATATTGCATTTGCCGTAGATTCCAGTTGTCTCTAAAATACTTACATATAAGTATTTTATGAGTTTTTCGAGTTGGATTGATATATTTAGAACAACTATTTCCCGATTGTATTTTAGTTCGTCATGTGGTTCGTCAAAATGAATTAGAAATACTACGCCGATCTTGAAACCCCCAAATATATCCAGACATGGATTGGATATCAAATGTGCGTCTTGGAAAAAAATGAATGTCGGTTGGATAATAACTGTGCCTGTGATGTAACCTTATTAGCTACAGTCTTTGAAATCAATATGTCGATAAAAGCTCGTAGACTCTTACCTATGATGCTAGCGGAAACTTTTTTCTATAAATATTTTGCATTGATATTTACAAAAGCGCTGTGAACGGACGAAAGTTGTCACGTGAGACCTACAGTTTTTATTTGCGAAATATGTAGCGAATATACCAATAAAACTACGAGAAAACATTCAGAATCCGTGCCACTTCCGGTGTAATTTCGATTCAAGATTGTTACTGAAACAATTGACCAAACATAATTTTGAAAATCAAGTAAACCACGTCACATTAGGGTCTATCATTATAGAAAAGTTCAGACTATTCCGTTCAGTGGTTTTCTCAAGATAGTTTGAAGAAAAAAAGAACAACGGAAAAATAAAAACAATAGGGTCAAAACAGACTTGGACCTTCATAAAAACACGCTATGGGATTTTGTCACTTGCAAGAGTATCATGCCATATTTAGAAAGTGACCATGTCAGTTGTATTATAATATGGATATCGCATACTATTACTTTCAGCTTGTTTTTGAAGGCCGTAGAGGAAGCACTACACATGGTGATATATCAATTGATGACATTCGTGTTTATGATACTGAATGCCGACTTGCACGTACGCATCAATTATTACTAATAATTCTATCGTTAACAAATATGATTTAATGTTTACTTCACATATATGTGTACAATAGGATATGTATATTTTACATTCAATTTAATCAAAATAGTGCAATGTATGAGGCTACCAACTCATGCTGTGAGAAAATGGGATTTTTTATGGATAAAATAGTGCTAATAGTGCAAATGGCGCTAAAACCTCGTTGAGAGCGAGAGCAACGAAACCTGCTTTTGCCCCTCAAATTGACTCCCGTGTAGCCATAGCATTTAGAACACTGGACGCTGTGACAGGAAAGAAAGATACACTATTCATGGTGCTCTCGGTCTCATTTGCGTTGAAATTATATTGAACTAGTGAGAGCATCGACTTCTATGCCCTTTCCACAGCATACCACTCTATTGTGTGCGATTTTGAACAAGAACATTGGTGCGACTTTAAACAAGACAAAAATGACGACTTTGATTTCAAGAGAACTAATGGAGCAACTTCATCGATAGGAACCGGGCCCTCAGTCGACCACACTACTAATACTGAATATGGTAAATATGTGCAAATTCTACTGACGAATTATATTAGTTATAGTGTATCTCGGATAAATCACACCAAAATACAAAACTAATAATTTGATTTATTACAAAAGGACACTACATCTACGTCGATTCCAGTGAGCAAAACGCAGGTGATGTAGCAAGGATGTGGACGCCATATATAACATGGGACAGTGCCTCCATTCGTAAATGTTTTCACTGGTATCTTCACCACCAGGGAATTACTGGATCGTACACAGCATATAGAGAAGTTAGTCATGTGTATCACAGTGATAGTTTTCATAAACAGAATAATGCATGGGTCATAAGTATTTGAGAAAAATAAATCGATCATCCAGTCAAGCCTATCAACATTACAATAAATAATCTGCTGCATGTATCACATTTCCAAGTGGTACTCTTAAATTTGTAATTGACGATGACTACATTTGCAGAGCGACGAGTTATTATACTGTCTATGAATGAGAACGCATTATTAACTTTTGACCTATCTTTCTACAGTTCGAATATGACGGGAAACAGTATACAATGTTGTGTTGCTTTATTGTGCCTGAGAACAACTTTGTGTTCGGAGATAATTGGATAAGAGCTGGCTTTGATATTTACTTTTATGAGCATCCAAATACAAGAATGAGGTTCCAGATTGTTGTTACGGCGGCCGACGGCGACAATGGTGACATGGCCGCAGATGATTATTATGTTAATGATGGAAAATGCCCAGCTCATGGTAAGCAACAATAATGTGACGTCACAAGATGGTCATATTAAGGTGAAATGCGGAACATAATGACGTCACATATAAGGATATTGCACTATTATCATGATTATCAATTACGAATATGACTTGAATACTCAATAAATTATTACAATCTGCAGAAATAGTTCACCTAGTAGAACTTCGTAATCACGTAGGGTTCCAACAGGATACCAATTATAACTGTACATGTGATTAATTACTAAAACAGTAATACCTAAAGTTATGAACAAATAGATATCCCCATTATTCACAACGTAAAATCGTTTGTTGTGACCAAGGTGTATCCTGGCGTTTTAGTTGCATGCTGAACCTGTAAAAATATCCACCATTTTCCACGTCTTAAAGAAGGCCCTGCATTGATCAATTAAAACTCTTTTTTAGGTCCATTGTTACTGCTGGAAAGTTACTTTTGATTCTTCTGTTTTTTTCATCTGCTTGTATAAAAGAAGAGAATTATCAAGGTTTTGATGGTCATATGACCATATTGGTGTTAACACGAGGAAATTGTATTGTTGTATTTCAATTAGTGGTCACAAGTCACTATATTCGATCTTCTGACAACTGGTTTCTCGAAATAGGAAATGAATCATTTCAAAATAAAGGTCGCTATACTTTTCTTCCAGTATACTGATGACGCTACATGACATTAGAATGTGCAGAAACTGTTTAATGCTAGCAATATGTTTTTATTAAAACCTACGGTTAGGAAATCTAGTGAAATATATTCTTGGAAGACTAGACGTTATTGAGGATGTGCTAACAAGTGTCTGTATACATGTCTATATAAATACATAATCACTGATGACAGCTGTGAAATATCATAACCTATCATATCATGACCTATTTAACTAATTATCTGAATTTCTGCACAGTTGATATCGATTTCGATGACGGGTTTGGTCAGTGGTTTAATGATCGCAACGGCCTACGCGATGAATTCGATTGGGTAATAGGATCAGGGGAACATAGATATGGTATGACTGGCCCTGACATAGACCACACTCAAGGAACAGCGCAAGGTACGTAATGTGTTATATTATGATTTTTACATTATGGCTGACTATCCCAACACACGTCAATATCTTAATATATGGTTTTTACACAATATTTATCAAATTATTGGACATTATGGTTTTTTGAATATGTCTTGAAATCGTCTGCTGAACGAATTTGTGATACATTCCAAAACAAATATATTTCCTAATCGCAATAGGTGAACGGTAATTCGTGAACGAGGATCTTGTATGCAAATGAGCCGTTCTATGATATCTTGTACACTCTATTAGTTGTTAGTGTTTAGGAGCAGCGAAACGGATATATGGAATAACCAGGATAGCACATTTGTGACCCAAGTGTACCAAATTTATTAAGCTCGAGTAGTAATGTTCACTTGCCGAATATGAAACTTTCCGTGCAGTGGGATCATTCGCCATATGTTTGGCCTGTAATATTTTGTTACACGACAAATTCGTATGACAGTGAGGGCATTTTATAAGGCTCGAATCTTCTTACCACAAACCCTTGCATTGGTATCAATAGGAAAATATGCACTATGTGATGTATCTGGTGGATCAAAAGGTGACAGGGCGGTATTGGAGTCGAGAACACTCTTCGTTCAAAATAAATGCATAACATTTTGGTATCACATGTATGGCGAGCATGTTGGCGAATTGCGTCTGTTGCTACAAGACGGAGATGATGAAATTCTGGTGTGGCGGCTCGAAGGACAGCAAAATAAAAAAGACGAGTGGAAAAAAGCACGTGTTGGATGGAAAAATCCCATTAGTGGAGGAGCAGCTATTGCTGTAAGTAAAATACTATAATTGTACACATCGCATTATTGTTAGGCAATATAAATCTAGCCATGTGCATCACAAGATCGTGAAGGCATGGCGTTATGTATCATAATATACTTCTCATAGCATCTCATTGAAGTGATCCGAGGTGATGGAGATTATGGAGATATTGCAATAGACGATGTATTGTCAGAGGGAACATATTGTGATGAACTGCTACCTCCTGAGGCGAACCCGAATCCAGTTAAATCGTCAAGTAAGTTGCCAGTTCCCAATATTCTGATGTCGTAAAAGTGATTGGCTTTCAACACAGATACAACGTTTGTGCCACGTTAGAAATTTTAAAATAAACGTCATCACGGCTACAAGGTTGGCATATATTTATAACTTTAACAGTGAACCTAATTACTTGAATCTTGAATATCGGAAACGAATGTTGTCATAACTACGTGACATTCATGTTTTGTTGATTGGTAATAATATAATTGCATATATTTGTATACGCCAACTAGGTCAATTGCCAATTTCAGTTAATAAGTGATAAATTCAAAATATAAATATATTTGAGTCCAAACGCATGGATTGAAAATTACAATTTCAAGGTGTCGGTTGCTTTGTACGCAAATGTACCATTATAACAAATGTTCATTAAATATGAGCATCAGGAATATTTATGATAGATCACATAATTATGACAATCATTATGAATATAATACACATAATAATAACAACACTTGGAAATTAATCTTTCAATTTAACTTTTCCTACAGACAAGATTGGAATGATTGTTGGGATTGTACTTGCTGCGTTGGTACTTATCACACTGTGTGCTGTAATATGTTATAGATATAGAGATTCAATATCCACGTAAGTCCAGTCATTATTTTGCGTTATTATTTTGCTCTAACTGTATCTACTAATATAGTTCTAGCAATCGTTATCGATAACAGTTACCTATGTGAATTTGTTCGGCTTCACCTGTTATTAAAACATTTTGATAACAATTAGAGGCCCAGTTTGTCAGCTTTTCATTTGTAAGTTGTTCACAGTTTATTTTTTTTAATATCAGCTAATATATATATTATTTTATAGATCTACTTATAAGTTATTCGGCCGAAAGGAGGTATAGTCGATGACCAGCCACGTATATAACCGATGTCGAATTTGTATTTCTTTGTAAGCTTTCTTGTGTAATTGTATTATTCGAGTATAGCTTGTACAGTTATGCATAATATACCATACAAGTCTATATTTAGACTGATGCGAAACTATACTAATACAGCTCGGACGTTATATTGTAGTTATAAAAATGAACATGGTTTGGGCAGTTTAATACTCGTGTTTACTCTGTCATATACGTATACAGATATCAGTGATGACTGTCTCTCGAACGAATTGGTGAAATTATGAAAAAGAGGAATGCCGCGACTTAATTCTTAATATTGCAAACAGATTGGGACGTTGGCGTGAAGACAACAGACATCCATTCGATGTTACGGTTCAGATATACTGTAATTGATCTTTGGAGTGGGAGTTTGAATATAATTGATGACGATGATATTTGTTGTTGAAAATAAAGCTGTAATCTCCAAAATTGTGTCATCACGAATATATGTTATATGTATTATATTGTATGATAGCGACTTTACGTTCGCTCATTCGATTCACATGCCGTTGTACTCTTATTTCGAATCAGCACCTTGCATGTTTAGGGTAGAGATTATAAACATATATTACAGAAATTTGATAAATATATTGTTTACTAATTGTATTTAGTAGTCGCAACTTTGGAAGGCTTTAACCGTGAGACACATCCCAGGTGATCACGTGATAGTTCAAACGACTGTAGCGATTGGCTGATCGCATGTTTACTCTGCCACGCCTTAGAGACTTGACTTTTAGGATAGAGTTTGTAACTTTTTGTAAGAGAGAAGGAGAGAAATGGGTGAATAAAGCTGGACTATCTGTAATGAACTAATGTGTATTCCTTTGTGTCGAGTTTGGTATTTCTCGTGTTAATAATACTATAGCAAAATTGGCATTTAATATTGTTAAGAGATAATTAGTGCCATACTAAGAACATAACAAATTATACATTTCTCGTTACAACAAGTTTTTTATGTGAATTTTTTCCGTCATTTTAATTCTTCTCTATGTCAACCCGTCGCTTGTGTCGTTTGATTTACATAAAATAGCATTAGAGGCGCTGTTACAGAAAACACGAAAGTGTATTAACATAAACACAATATACAAATCTTCTGTACGTATTGTCTTTGTGAATTTTATTATTATGAACGGATTAAAACACTCGGAGACGGAGACTGGGCCATGATGCAGGTGTATTGTATTGTGTATACTTGATACAAAAAAACACCAGTCAGAGCCGGAGTTTTGCGTAATATGAGTTTGTCACGAGAATATCGCAACATAGACAGTAAGGCAGTGCTGGAAGCATTCCCCAAGCCTCAGTTGATTACTTACATTGATACCGGACTTGAGGATTTTGAAAATTCTGCCGCGGGCAATATTTTACACATCAATCCTCGGTATTACGGTGAAATAAGAACACGTGCGACACAATTCGCCAGGAATACACTCTGCGTTGCAGCTATGTTCGCAGCCAGTTAAAAAATGTCAATCGCAATAGACATTTTAAGGTTTTGACGTCACTCGACTCGCGCCTGATAAACCTGTATAGAACCAACACTTGTCTATTTAAAGAACTTTATCGTTGTCTTCTGACAAGCCGCGCTTTTTTGTACGGAAACTTGCATACTTGAATGATAACTATCGGCTTTCTCTATAAACGTAAAATGAATGAATGAATCCAATAAAATAATCAAAATAAAACAGTCAGCATTCAGTGTGTTTACATGTATGTGGCATAAATGCATAGCGGGCTGGTTAAAAAAATTCACATGCTCAGATCGGGAAAACTGTGTATGCACAGAGTGGTGTTAACTGATTATAGTTATTCTAGCTTTATTTGACAAACCAGTTTCTATTCTCACTCGTGTAATTTAGATTATGGTGAAATCCTTACCATATATAAGAGGCGCCGTGTGTAAACTAATTAATTATTCATTTTTGAGCGTAGGTGATCGCCAACCAGCCTACCAGCTTGTTTAGTTAATTTGCTACATAAAACAGATGTGTGATGAACTATCTGTTCTCAAATACAATTGTTACGTTCACGAGACCTTTAACTTTGTTGGATATCCTACGTACAATAGCGTCATAAGTTTGTTACAGTTTATTTGCAGTTCTTTCGGGGAAGGGGTGGATATTTTCTGGATAATGGCCAGAGAATCAGAAGTCACCCGGTTTGAAGATGGAGGGGAATCGCTCACTCTACTTAGCTGCTTGAGTTTCTGGATCACAGCGCATGTGTCACGAAATCAACACTCATACACATATGCACGCAAAACTCGATAGATGACACGTAGTTATTGTTGGTTTCACACTCGTCTATTTGAATAAAACACTGAGTTGGGGAAGCACACAAGGTTGACACTGTTACGATACGAGGTTGTTGCTGCTATCGACGTAGAGTTGATGTGACCAAGTGTGTTCTTTTTGAATTTAGCTTGGCGTGTCAATTGCTTTTTCTTTTGTTTTTGTAAGATACATTGTCTTTAGCCCGTGTTCATCCTGAGATGAATTTGCAATGACTTGTTACGTCATAATGGTGCTAACAGGTTTCAAAGATTAGTTCATTAATATATTTATTTGTTGAGTCGTGTGAAACCAATGACAGCCAAATGACGCCTAGTATTAATTTTCTGATTATTGTCTTAGTGCTTTTAACATGTTCGTCTGTATGTAACTGGTGGTACCGTTTCATTTCTAATTCAAACATGTGATGCTAAACCCTTTGATATGCGAATTTAACCTATGACAAGTTGATGAAATTACAAATGAGGGATTTGTTTATGTTATATGACGTCATTCATAATCGGCTCACGAACCGGTGCGTGATTGTGATAGGAAAAGCTGTATTATAACACCTACTCTTCTATAATACTCGACAGTGGTGACAACTCTATTACCACGTTCAATGGTCGCAAGGTCGGTAAAGCATAATAACATAAGGGGCGGACCATTTGATATCCTGGGGACAGGAAGATGGTTCGCAATGTAGCGTATAGCTGCGCACAGGATGGCGTCGGAAGTTGTTGAAATTAAGTTTATCAAAACAATCATGAAAGTAAAAAGGCGTCCATAATATATTTTAATAGAATTCAATCACTGCTCTTGAACTCTTTCAACTTATATTTGTGTTCATTCATGCATTCAGATCTACAAGTTTTAGAGATCCTTGGAGCCCGTTGTCAACCTCAGCTTTGCCTCAGTTGACAGTGAGCATTCCGGGTCGCTAAAATTTTATGTCCACCTCTGTACTGTTGGGGTGTATATTTGTATATTAACACATACATGGTTATTACGATTGAACGTCTTTAATTTTGTCTCTCACTGGTCATCATTCTATAAAAAGCAAAGCCGACATTTTACTAGGTATTGTTTCAAATTATTAGACGTGCGTCTGTCCGGGGGCATATGATTTACTGTATGTCTGGTCATGAGTTTAAATGCCGAGACACTATTGTTGAATAGTACGCAAATAGAACCCGAATTGTACGTGAACAGTACGCTAATAGTACGCGATTAGTATGTAAATAGTACAAGAATCGAACTGCACGCTGTATTCACACTGCATCATTCTATACGATGGTGTTGTTCATTGTTAGTTTGTATGCGATTAGTTTATTCCAGTGTCTGCTGTGACTCATTTCTTATCGACTATCCCATAACCTGAATTTGGTCATGATATTTAAAAATAATAGTAATAACCAAATCTTAGCAGCAATCTTGACGGGGAATCACACAAACACGGTATTTATTGATTTTAGAAGAGCTTATTTTCCGACACCATTGACTACCACATCAAATGTTGAGTGTTATTGATATGGTCCTTGAGTGGAAAACATTTCGATAATGACAATTGATATATTGCATAGTTATTTGGAGTCATTTGTACACGTTAATTCTGACAACGAGTGAGTATGTGAACAACACTGGGTCAAGAAAAGCAAAACGACCGCACAAAGGCACCCGCCCCCGTTCACGGGTGATTTTTTTTATATTTTATTTAATTAAATATTCCTTACAAAACTTTACCGACATTGTCAAATCTTCTTTATCAGCATCGACAAATATTTTAAAAAGTTTCTACATATACTGTTCTCACTACCATGTCATCTAAATCATTGTCAGGAATGTGTCAAGAAAAACGTTTGGGTCTAGTCACGTGACATATATTCAATCGTTGCCAGACCCGTGGTTTCAAGCAAAGCTTGCTGGAAGTGAAATGGCACGTCAAATCATGTACTCTATGGTTCTTGCAGTTGTTACAATCACTGGAATAATCGGTGAGATAATCTCCACATTTGTAACGAACGCATTGCATGTAGTAGTATACATATTTTGTTTTGAGATCTGTGCTTTATACATACACAGTGAGGTTAGTAGTCGCGACACTTTCGGGCCAAATAAGGGGCGGATCCAAAAGGAGTTCATTGGGTTTGTACGATCCCTCGTAAAAAAATGTATAAATTGTTTTTTTCTGGTTTATTCTTTTCGAGGATTCGTAGTATATGTAATTTGTATTTGTTACGAGATGTACCATTACGGTAGAGAGAGTTTATTGGCAAAGAAAATAAAGTGAAATGAAGAAGGGCATACGTGAAATCAACAAACCTATATATATATATATATAGGTATACTCTGGGTTTCTATTAATATAACATGACCTCCAAAATCAATAAGACTGGTAAATTAGTACCATGAATACAATCGAAAATGGCGGCTCCACTATGATGCCAGTGACTCCATACATAACGTATCGTGGAAAGGAGGTCATGAAATTTGATACCGTAATTCTAATTTTGCGATATTATAAGTATGCAGCCCGTTTTTGCGAGACAACAGTGAAAAACGGCCACATGATTCAGTCAAGATACGGAAATGAAGTTCATTCCATGTACCGCTACTGATAATGTCGTCGCTATTACCTTATTGCAACATCCACAAATTCGTAGATTTTTACTCGCTTAGTAGTCCAGTGAAATACAGAAGACAATAGATAAGAAACACGACAATTGGAACTAGAACAATCTTAATTATCTGTCGATTATAAACGATTTCCAATGACAATCTAGATAAATATAATAAAAAATGAAGTATACATCCGTCAATTATATTTATATGATAAATTATAAATGCGCTAAAATATGCGCACATATCCAAAATGCATAAGTAGCATTCTCTCTTCCCTAATTCACTTCACTATAAATATGTGAACGGTCAGTATCACATTCATTGCATAATTTGAAACAAATCTGCTGCTTGACCAACCATTACCAACTTATGAGGCAGCACCACTAAATAATTCATTATTAGTATTTTTCTGAGTGTGCATGCAGTTTAAACACGTTTTTTGAATGTATTTGACCATATATAGTGTATGCCGAAGAGACAGATTTATTTCGGTGTGATTTTGAAGATGGTATTTGTGGGTTTGAATTTGAACCAAGTAACCCTATTGATTGGACAATACACAAAGGAAAAACAGCTACAGTGGGCACTGGACCATCAGTCGATCACACCCTTCAGACGGATCAAGGTAATATAAACTCAACTGCGCATACATTGTCTTCACTCATTATGTATTACACTGTCATGTAACGTGAATAATGTGTGCACTTTATTCCCAGTAATGTCCAAGTGATGAAAGAATCAATAAAGCCCAGAAGCTTGGCCCATTTTTTTTATGGTTTTATTTGGTCTGCCAAATCATGTGTTAACTCTTTCACACAAACAATATACACGCATTTTACACGAATTTTAATAACGCCTGTACTATTAAAGTATAGATTTAAAATATGATGCGATAAAAAGTTACAATCGCGATTGTTTATTGACCTCAGATTCAATGAGGCGTATGGCGCGGTATCCATGTCAAAATTGCAATATTACACTTTCATTTCATTTGTAAATTTCTCTTTCTCATTTCACATTTGATTCGTATTTCATTCGTGGATACCTTCAATAAAATATTATAGTGTTGGCATGGATACTGCTAAATAGAGGTGATAATCTGTCGTTTTCACACAAGGGATCCATACCATGTAAAGTGGACAGCGAGTTGTTAATTGAAACTTTAAGGCATTTTTCAATCTATGTCCCGATTCGGAAATTATGTATTCCTAAAATAGATAAAACGTCGGTATGTAAAGGTAAATTGAAAGCGCTTCAGTAAGTGTATATTCCGCAGGACCCCCCTAGAACCAGGTAAAATATGAGGTATGAAAGATGACGGGAGACAGATTATAGAGAGTTATCGATTGAACCACAAAAGCACACCTAGGAGATGGTTAGTTCGTGTGGAACTCTGAATTGACATCTCTGTTTTTCCTAGCCACTTGACAGACAAACATGTATCTCGTTTCGCCCTGATTTATTTTGTACTATATAATTATTAAATCCAGCATTCTGATTTATTTGTATAAAATCAATCCTAGTCTCTATAGTACAATGTAAAACTAAAACTGTGACTTCTCCACACAGTCCAGCAATCAAACAAAAAGAACAATGGCAGCCAGTTTGCTTCTTTGCGATATCTATGAATTGATGCTGGTATATATTGGAAATATATCCCCCAGGTTAGCCCTGTATCGTTTGATAACGGTGGGTTTGAAGTATATATTGTGTGAAACAAAAAATAGAGGGAGAAAGTCTGCCTCAGCGGAGCAGGCTGTTACAGAGCTTCATTATCTTATGTGTATTGCACTGTATGTGCACAGCGATGGCGATATTGTTGAACACTTGAATATATTGCCTCCCTTGGTTACACGTTAATGAGGTATATGTATTTGGAATAGTGCCAGACTCGTGGAGAACTCCCTGTTGTCCAGTGCTAACTTTGTTGATCTTCGTTTTTTTGTTTTGTACCTCGCTATTGATTAAGCGCCTTCTTGAGGCCTAACATCTAAAGCAGGTCTGTGTGAAATCTCGATTCCAGTTTCATTTCTCCAAATTAAAAGTCCCAGGTGACTTATTCCGATGTCCTGCTGAATAGGAATATAGAGTGTAAGAAAAAAAAACGCTTTGAAAATAATTGTATTGCTGACTTTGCATCACCATGCTAATGAGGTCCTTACAAAATCCTGCACGTGTTAAATTTCATACCCAGAAACACAAGCTAGTTTTCTATGAACCCGAAAAGTGTCCGTGATTGTTTTGAAGCACTGTTTATATTTATCTAAGTCATCTAGGTACTGGACAAAAAAGTACAGGGGGGTAGGCCAGTGTTTTTTTAAAGTCGCCACATAAAAATATATGACCCTTCACAAACATCTGCATGGAATTTAATGACCTCCCCTTGGAATGTACATAACAAATTGTGACCCTCCCTCCCTCTTTCCAAGTGTAAGGATAGTACAAGTATTAAAACTATATATACATACTAATTGATGTTGTACTACACAGCTTAGAATATTTCTACTTCAATCAGTTAGTCCAGCTCTCATTGAGAAGAGGACAATGTATGATACGGTGCATGTAGCACATTAGGGTGACACATACACAATTTTACTGTCACCTTTATGAGTGTTGTGTGTTGAATCAAACTTACGAGATACACATGTTAAATACCACCATTCTATATTCTTATTACATACTCTAGATATATACTTTTTTATAACAACACTGAGATTCAGCCAAATTTTACTGGTCTAACAAATTCTAGTAAAAGTATCGAGAAGCCTTTTATCCAAAGCTTGTTGGAAGACTTGCCTGCCACACAGTATAAATATGTTAATGAGAAAAGGAATGTAAGCTACCAGAGTATGCTGTGGTTAGAGCGCCACCAGTGGCAGTAATCTATTATTAGTGCGGTTCGTGTATTGCGAGAATCGCCATTTTTTACTTTACTTGTTGTGCACTGAATTCTACGTCAAAATTACTCTACTAGATTTCCCAGCGTGGTAAGTTTAGTTGCATAAATCGTTAATTATTTGAGTTGTCTACTACGAGGAGACTTATTCAAGATTATTGTGAGATATTATGAGTTTATATTTCGCGTAAATTCTGTCGAGTTTACATTCTTTGTGATAAACTTCGAACTTGTGCAGTTTTGCCGAACAGATCTCGCATTTGTCTGCGACTTATGTAAACAAAGTTTAAGGTTCTCTGTTCTACCTTTTGTAGTTGAGAATACCATTTCAAACGTTTATTATTGTTAGTTAAGGTATATATATTTGAAAGTACAGTGGGAAATTCTCATACATCACTCGTTTTATGAAGAGTTTTCCACGCACCATGCTTGGCCATCTAATTAAAATTTGTTGTTATGCATGGTGCATTCCTTACGAAAATTGTTATACCCTTTGAATTATTGTGATATTTCTTCATTGTATTCTTATTAGTGTTTGTTATTTTTTTTGTGTATTTACAGTTTGACGATTCGATCATTCATTCGTTCATTCACTGTCAATTACCATTCGTTGACCACTTATTCAACAATTCATTGGTTCGCCATTTATCAAGGGAACATTCTACCATTCTGCTGCTCATCATTTCTACCATCGAACATTTAACCAATCAGTAACTACTACTCATTGTGGCATTTATTGATATTGTCAACAACAACAACTATTACTATCAGCTAACTTTAATAACAATTATCAACATAACAACAACTACCTGTAAACATTAATGGTGAATGCGTTCAGCACACGGGAAATCAATATATACAACGATTAATCTGTTAATGTTGTCATTGTATTGGCTACAAGGAACATTACTTAACAAATCATCTTCAGTCAGATGCGGTGGCACAAAATGTTGCATGAGGGGACGAATACTTTTCACTTTACTACGGTGTTCGGGGTATGCTCCTCCCTACGAAATTTGAAATCTAGACGTGATTTCCTGCATTTTAAGGAGCACATTTTGTTGACACAAAGGGTTTAAGCTTGATTTTGAATGGGCGACGCCCCAACATTGTTTTTGAGGGGCGAACGCCCCTCTGACCACTGTGCCGCCGCCAATGTCAGTGTTTTTCTCTCTTGAATCAGTGTGATGTACAATATATGACTCAAAACTAACTTAAACAATAAACTTGATATGCACATGATACCAAGATACAAGGTTGGCCATTCAGGGACTGCCAGCTGTTCGAACAAAGTTCGAAACGACGACTTACAATTCGGTCTCCGCCCGTCCTTCTGTTCAGAGTCATATTTTAGAACCCTGTGGACCAAATCTGTTCATTCTTTGCATGTTACTAGTACTTTACCTGGGACATGTGCACATGCAGTGGTTTACTGATTTAAGCCAATGTGGGCA